AAATATGATAAGGTTTGACTCTATTTAACACAGTGCAATTTGTGGTGAGAGAAGCAATAAAAAATCAATATTTTGCGTATTTTTTATTATAAACTATATTGATCGGTGGTTATTGATCAATATATAAACGAGATCAAACACATAAACCAGATAAAACATAATAAAAAAACTATGTTTTTCACATTAAAAGGAGCGACTTTTTTTACATTTTATGTCGTCGTTATTTAATAATTTAATAAAAAACTAATTCTGAAAACGTATCCACCCCCCAAAGTAGGAGTTTTGAACGTCGCTCAAACTCAGGATTTAAAGATCTTTAAAAAGTTTAATTTGTCTCAAATGAATACGAAAGAAGTTTTCCACAACACTGCATACTCACTTCAACTACCTAACATAGCCGGTCACTTCCATTAAAAAGAAATCCTCACTTAATGCCATAAAACCATTCTGTTTTTGTATCTAAAGTTATGAAAACCATGAATTGTACATTTCTATAAACAATGTATTACTCATAACTATGTCTGCTGTATAAAGACACTATGTATAACTATGTCTACTGTATATTGACACTATGTATAACTATGTCTACTGTATATTGACACTATTTATAACTATGTCTACTGTATATTGACACTATGTATAACTATTTCTACTGTATGTAGACACTATTTATAACTATGTCCACTGTATATAACTATGTCTACTGTGCTATGTACAACTATGTCTACTGCATATAAACAATATAATGTTTAACTATGTTTACTGGATATATTATATAAACTATATAACTCTGTCTACTGTATATAAACACTATGTATAACTATGTCTATTGTATTTAGACACTATGTAGTATGTATAACTATACAGGATGAAGGGTGTGGAGTATACGGAGGTCTAATGTCTACAGCTGATGATACCGCTCCAATCGATCCGACTCTAGACTCCCAGAGGGGAAATCTGCAATCACCCGGCTTCTGGGGACCCTGGACCACCCGTTTGGGAAGTTGAGGCCCTGGAATCACCTTGACCAACAGGGCCTAAGACACACCTTGAATCATGGGGACCCTGAACGCACTTTGTTTTAGGGGGGACCCTGGATGCACCTTGTATTAGAGGGCCACTGTATAATCACATAGACAGTCTCTTTAATACAAGCTTGT